CAGAAGAGTGTAGCAGGGAAGTCACTATAGATACCATGAAAGTTTGTAAACACGGGCTGTTAGGAATAACTTTATGCTAATACAATTTTAAATTGCTAATAAAAATAGCAAACAGCTAGGCAAGCATGATAAAAATTCTGTGGTTAGCTGGGCGGTGGTGGTGCTCGCCTTTAATCCCAGCACTTGGGAGGCAGAGGCAAAGTCAAACGGATCTCTGAGTTTGAGGCCAGCCTGGTCTACAGAATGAGTTCTAGGACAGCCAGGGCTACACAGAGAAACCCTGACCTGAAAAACAACAACAACAAAATGCCTGTGGTCCCAAAGTTTCCGAGGATGAGAGAAAGGATTTAGCCTGTGAATTCAAGATCAGTCTGGACCACATAACAAGATCTTATTCTAAATGAAAATAGAAGCAGAAAACAAAGCAAAATCAGCAAACTTCTAGAATGTAATTTAAAACTAATTCAAGAAAATAAAAGGCCTACCTAATCTTAAAATATTAAAGAAATCTAACCCGTAGAGTCTTCTTTAAGGAAGACTCTTAAGGTTAGATAGCTTTGCCAGCAAATTCTAACAAGCTTTTAAAATATAGATAATAATTTGAAACCTACATAACCCTTTTTAGTCAGTAGAACAGGAGGGAACGCCTCCAAGCCAAATTGATGAGAGCAATACAATTTTGCTGTCATACCCTGACAGAAGAGTTATAATCCCAGTTCCGTCATTCATGATGACATACGTAAAGAACTTGTACAAACTTAGTCCTAGTGTAAAGGAAGTGCAGTAAAGGTACATCCCCAGGTGAAGGAAGGCGTGGCAGCCTGGTCTTTGTAGTACTCTCCTCGCTGCTGCAGTGCTGAGGGCTCAAGTTCCAGGGTACAGTCGATCATGAAGCAGTCATGGCAGCTTGGGGCAAGCAGAGAAAGATAAATGCTGCTGCTGGGCTCCTTTTACTTGTTTGATTTCATCTGAGACCCCCCCTCATCAGTAAGACTGCCCATATTCAGGGTGGGCCTCTCTTTTTGTTAAACCTTTCTGGAAAGACCCTCATAGACTACCCAGAGATATTCTTTGATAGTTAAAATCTAACCAGGTGAACAGTGGATATTAACATCACATTTACTTCAAAATGATTATAAAATTTCTTTAACATTAGAAAATTAGTTTTGTTCTACAGTAATAGAAGAATTTATGGGGTTAAGAATTAATTCTACATAAATATTAAAATAATGGCATAATAAAAAGTAAAAATTGAAAATTCCTCTATTGGGTCCCTTTCTACTCTTGGGCGGTCTTCCTCACATTTTTTTTTCATTTTTTTTATTTTTTATTTTTTCTTTATTAATTACACTTTACTCACTTTGTATCCCCCCCCCCCATGGTTCTCTCCCTCCTCCCATCCCAATCCCTCTCTTCCTCCGCCCTCTGCATGCATGCCCCTCCCCAAGTCCACTGATAGGGGAGGACTTCTTTTCCTTCCTTCTGATCCTAGTCAATTAGGTCTCATCAGGAGTGGCTGCATTGTCTTCTTCTGTGGCCTGGTAAAGCTGCACCCCCTCAGGGGGAGGTAATTAAAGAGCAGGCCAATCAGTTCATGTCAGAGACAGTCCCTGTTCCTATTACAATGGAACCCACTTGGATACTGAACTGCCATGGGCTACATCTGTGCAGGGGTCTTAGTTTATCTCCATGCATAGTCCTTGGTTGGTGTATCAGTCTCAGGAAAGACCCCTGTGCTCAGATTTTTTTTGGTTCTGTTGCTCTCCTTGTGGAGTTCCTGTCCTCTCCAGATCTTACTATTTCCCACTTCTTTCCTAAGATTCCCTGCACTCTGCCCAAAGGTTGCCCATAAGTCTCACTATCTACATTGATAGTCTGCAGGGCAGAGATTTTCAGAGGTCCTCTGTGTCAGGCTCCTGACTTGTTCCCTCCTTTCTCCTTCTTCTGATGTCCATCCTCTTTGCCTTTCTGGATAGGAATTGAGCATTTTAGCAAGAGTCCTCCCTCTTGATTAGTTTCTTTAGGTGTACAGATTTTAGTAGGTTTATCCTATATTATATGTCTATATGAGTGAGTATATACCGTGTGCATCTTTATGCTTCTGGGATAGCTCACTCAGGATGGTCTTTTCCAGATCCCACCTTTCATGATTTCCTTGTTTTTTTTATTGCTGAGTAATATTCCATTGTGTAGATATACCACAATTTGTGCATCCATTCCTCCACTGAGGGGCATCTGGCTGTTTCCAGCTTCTGGCTATTACAAATAAGGCTGTTACAAACATGGTTGAGCAAATGTCCTTATTGTGTACTTGAGAATCTTTTGGATATATGCCTAGGAGTGGTATAGCTGGATCTTGTTCCTCGCATTTTTTTAATGACTCTACTTTTACAAAACAAAACAAAAAAAAAGGAAAATTCCAAATTAATGTAATAAAATATAAAAATCATATCATCTCAGAGGAAGAAAAAATATTAACAAATTTAACATCCATTACCAATAAAAGTCTCAGCAAGCCTAGATTTTCTTAATTTCATACAGACTCAACAAAGAAAGTGGTTGAAATTAGAACAAAAAAGATACTGTTGCTTTTATTCAGCATTATGCTTGATGTTCTCACAAACAGGGTGAGGAAATTGCATAAATAAATGAGAAGCACAGAGGGAGAAACAAAGGTTTCATTATTCATAGAGCCATATAAATAGTCTGAAAAGATCTGCAGATGAGTTATTTGAACTAAAAGTTTGCTAAGGCTGTCAGATACAAAATCAACGTATTTTATTGTACTTCTATATGTAACAAGTGTTGAGAAGACTGTATGTCATTTGTGAAGTAATAAGATGTGAGAATATAACAGCATTTTTGTAAAATCTGAGAAAATGTGAGGCTTTACTTAGAAGTGTTAAAGCTTTTCTTTGCTGGGCAAACAAGCTGTGCTTTTAGACTGAAAGGCTTAGTGTTAGAAAGATGTTCTTCCCACATTGTTGGAATTGGTGTGATTTTGATGAGCTCTCAAAAAAATGCATTGTTTTGGTTTGTTTTTGAGATTTAGCAAGTTCATTTTAAAATAGAAAGAGAAATGCAGAAGCCAGAAGAGCAGCCTAAGACCTATACAGAGCTAGGTGCTGCAGGACAGGCGTGTATGTACCTTCAGCTAACTAGGGCGACAGAGCAGGAGTTCTTGGGTGTTGGTCCTTGCCTTCCACCATGTTTGATGCAGAACCTCTTTGCTCCTTTTCCCTTCATATGTCAGGCCCACAAACGCAGAAACCAGGGATTCTGGTCTACAGAGCAAGAAACTTCATGACAGAGCCAGGGCTATCCAAAGAAACCCTATCTCAGACAAAAAAAAAAAAAAAAAAAAAAAAAAAAAAAAAAAAAAAAAAAAAAA